AGGTGATGACATTTGTTCATATAGTGCATTTTATGTAGGGTATCAGTGGTGAAGACTCAGTTCTGGAAAGCAGACCTTGTTGGAGTTCCAACTCTGCAACTTACTAGCCGTTTAACTTTGGAGAAATTCTTTAATCACTCTGAGTTTGTTTGCTTGCCTGAGAATGAGATAATGCTAGTGTCTCCAAAGGGTTGTCTTGAGGGTTGACTGTGATAATGTTCAACACACAGCCCTGTGAAACTAATGATAGCTGTTAGTTATGAAGTTCTGAATCTTAGGAACATGCCATTTGTAAAGGGGATGCCATTGGCGTGGAAAGCATGAAGCTTTCTTGGGAATACATATGAATTATGCTAGAAGGTTGCCAAAACTTAATGTTGGTAGATATTTCCAAGGTCACCTGATTCAGTCTTTCTTTCTTTCCTTTCTTCTTCATTCATGCTTTCCTCCTAAATCATCACCTTTTCATTCTTTTCTTAAAGATGTGAGAAATACAGCATTAGGACAAAGACATGTGAAGAGTGGTCTCTGCCTCCAAGGAGCTGGAAATGAGGGTGAAGAGACAACTACACCAGTTTCTAATGACCATCAGAGCCACTAGAGCAGAGGACAGAGGTCTGGGAGTTCAGAGGGGATAACATCGGTCCCAGGAAATCACCTGGAAGGATAGGTGGGATTTAGCAGACAAAAAAAATGGGGAAAGGGTATATTCAAAGAGGTTGCAAAAAGTGGGCGCAGTAGGTATCTGTTGTTTTTGGGGTCCCCAGAATCCTCCATTCTATCTTCTGGTAGCAGCACCTCAATTTTCCATTGAGGAACTACCTCAACCCAGTCTTGGTGGAATTGACAGGCCACCTATCCAGATCAAGAGGTGAACACATTACCCACGTGAGTGCATTCCTAGAATGTTTGCTGGGATTCGAATCATGAGCAGAGTGAGCAGAGAAGAGAGTTGGCCTCGCTGTTCGAGACCCTCCCTTTGCAGAGACTGTCAGTGAGTTCCTGCTCCCTTGGTACTCGAGCCACCCCGGGAACTGTCCTTTCCGAGCTTGGGGGCTCATGTTTACCATTGACTCTATGAGTCACTCCAGTGTGTTCTAATAAGATTTCCCGCTTCTAATTCTAATAGCTGTCTTTCTAATATATTCCCTTTTTTGGCTTAGGTTATTAGCCAGACTCAATTCTTTTAGATTCAGCCACAGAGTCCTAAATGGTAGCTTAAACAAAGGGTTGGAGCGGGAAACAAAAATAAGAGAGAGATGTGTTTGGGTAAAAATCAATTGTCTGCTTAGCACGTAGAGTACACACTAGAGAGCTAGTAGTTGGAAATAAAGTTGGACAGGTTGCTTGGATCTGGAATGTGGAACACCTTGACTGCTAGGCTCAAGTGATGCAATCATAGCCAGGTTTGGGGGAGATTAAATGGTAGAGAGGAGCAAGTATGAAGGCAGGGTTGGTAGCCTCGCTTCTTTTGTCAATGTTTACACCATCCTGCATTATTTATTCAATTAATCGTCATTTTTCAAGAACTGATCATATGACAGTCTCAGTGCTAGATTTTAGGACTATAAAGATAATCAAGACATGAATCCTGTATTCCCAAAGCCCCCAACCTAGGAGATGGTAAGTGTGATAGATAAATTATTGGACTCAGGTAAGAGTTCTAGGTGTTTCTGTAAGGGAGAGTGACTAACTTTTTTGTTGGGTTAGGAAAGGCTTTGAAGAGATGGTGATTTCTGAAGTGAGTTTTGAATAGCAGTTTGCCAGGTAGTCACAGTGGAGGTGGGCATAGCCATTGGGATTAAAGGTCTTGGGTCCTGGAAATATATCAGGATTAGAGACAAAGATTTGGGATCATAAATGTGTAATATGGGAGCTTAAAAATGGTAGTGGGATGAAATTGTCCAGGGACATAGGCAATAGTCATAAGAGAAGAAAAGCAAAGACTGAACTCCAAGGAACACCAACACTTAAAGGATAAATGGAGGGAATGGATGCCGGCAGAGGACATGGAGACAGAAGTGAGCCTGTAGGAGGATCACAGAATCAGAGTGTTGTGGAAGCCAGGAGATGAAAAAGTGACAGGATGGGAGGAGCAGGAGGTCTGATGCCACAAGATTAAGGAAACGTAGGACCAGAGAGTGTCCCATTTGTTTGAGCAAAGGAAAGGTCATCAGACTTAAGAGTCACTTCAGTAGAATGGTGGGGGATGAGAGCAAGATTATAGGGAGGAAATGGGAGATGAGGAAGCCAATTGTGACTGTGGGTACAAGAGAGAGACATTAGCACAGGGAAATACAGGACAAGGAAGGCTTCTGGTTTTGTTTTGTTTTGTGAGAAAAACTGTTGCTTATTAGTTCTGGACTAATAAGCATGGACTTATGCATGGATTTAGCACCTTAAAGAAAACAAGATGTTCCTTCTGAACCGTAAATTCATAATCTCACTCTTGGTCCAGGATGGGCTTGTCTTATTTCATATTCTGTTCTATCACAAAAATACAGTGTGGTTCTATTATAACTTATGGAGATATTGGGCAGATTCATATGTGCCAGAAGGAAATAGATTTGGGGTCATGTACTAAAATTTTAACCTGGCCATATGTAGGCTTAACTTTTTCAAAGAAGCAAAATCAAACAAAATTTTAATTTCAAATGTGCATTTTTCTTAGGGTGAAATGTTTGGAGTGTATACAAAACATACGTGATAGCTAGCCCCGTAGTTTAGGGGGATCAAAGGGAAGGGGTTGGGATTAGCAGAACCTCATTATTCTAGTAAAATGATAACTTCTACTGAACATTCCCTACTTAGTGTTGACGATCCTTCTGAAGGGCTAGTCAGCCACTAAATGTACCCATTTCAAGCTTCATGATTTCTCTAGTTTCTTGTATTAGTCAATAGTCATTAGGTTCACAAAAACCTAACTTTGGGGCGCCTGGGTGGCTCAGTCAGTTAAGCGGCCGACTTCGGCTCAGGTCATGATTTCACGGTCCGTGAGTTCGAGCCCCGCGTCGGGCTCTGTGCTCACAGCTCAGAGCCTGGAGCCTGTTTCAAATTCTGTGTCTCCCTCTCTCTGTCCCTCCCCAGTTCATGCTCTGTCTCTCTCTGTCTCAAAGATAAATAAACGTTAAAAAAATTTAAAAAAAAAACAAAACACCTAACTTTAAATAAAGAAAAAGAAGGGACAGCTGGATGGCCCAATCAGTTAAGTGTCTGACTCTTGGTTTTGGCTCAGGTCATGATCTCACGGTCATCATGAGTTCAAGCCCTGCACTGGGCTGTCTGCTGTCAGCACAGAGCCTGCTTCAGGTCCTCTCTCCACCACCCACCCCCTTCTGCCCCCTTGTCCACTCGTGTGCATGTGCGTGCTTTCTCTCTCTCTCAAAGATTAAACATTAAAAACAAAAAAAGAAATCTGTTAATTCAAGAAAACAAATCATGATAAAGTCAAGCAAAACCTGTGTCAGAGTTATCTGGAACCAGAAACTAATTAACTAAATCTACGTACCTAATCTACCTCCCTCCCTACCTAATACCTATCCCTCAGCTTTGTTTCTAAGTATAGACTTCATTCTCAACCACTGCAAAGTAACTTGCTTCTTGTAGCTCAAACAATGGATGCCAACAGCTTCTAGACTTATGTTGTCATAACTCTACCATGAGAGAGGAAAAGATTTTGCTATTGCTGTAGGACTTTGATTGGTCTGCTTGAGTTATATCCCTGCTCCACTTCCACCCCCCCAGAAGAGTGTGGCAAGAGGGATTGAGCTACTGGGATTGGTCCAACTAGGTTGAGAAGCCCATCCTTTGCTAGGTCACTGTGATCAAAGGGGCAGGATCATAGAAGGAGATAGAATCTCCCATTGACCTGCTTGGTGAAGAGGAAAGCCTCAAAAGAGTGAGGTTACTGCCTGAGAAAAGAAGGGTGTTAGACACGAAACTGTAAATTGTTCAGTAAATTCACTTAGCACAAAACTTAGGTTCCGTCTCTGAATAAATGGACTGATTGTTTTGGAATGGGGGCAGGGAGAAGTTTTCTGAAAATATCTGCTAGGACATGTCTCTCGGAAAAGGGAAGTATAGTTGAATTATAACTTGATGGTGGTGAAGTTTGAATGAACTACATCCAGAGACTTAGCACTTCATAATTTAAAAGTAAGTTTACTTGCATCAGCCTTGTGAGCTAAAAAGAATCCAGTCCTAAAATTTCCATTTTAGACAGTACAAACTGAGTCTCAGAAAAAAAAAAAAAAAAAACTCTTATCTAGGATCCCACAGCCAGCAAGTAAGTAATGACTTTGGGTTTAGAATCAATAGTTCTTGGGGCACCTGGGTGGCTCAGTTGGTTAAGTGTCCGACTTCAGGTCATGATCTCACTGTTGGTGGGTTCAAGCCCCACGTTGGGCTCTGCGCTGACAGCTCAGAGGCTGGAGCCTGCTTCAGATTTGGCGTCTCCCTCTCTCTCTGCCCCTCCCCCACTCGCACTCTGTCTCTGTCTCTTGAAAATAAATACATGTTAAAAAACAATTTAAAAAAATAAAAGAATCAATAGTTCTGAATCCAGTTCAGAATCAATAGTTCAGAATCCAAAGCAGGCTCCAGGCTCTGAGCTGTCAGCACAGAGCCTGATGCGGGGCTCAAACTCACGAACCGTGAGATCGTGACCTGAGCTGAAGTCGGACGCTTAACCATCTGAGCCACCCATGCTGCCTACAAGTATGATCTTTTAAAGGATTTTAAGATCACACCCAGTTTTAGGAATTGTTTGTTTTTTTTAATGTACCTTTTTTTCAAGTTTTATTTAAATTCCAGTTAATTAGCATACAGTGTAATATTAGTTTTGATGTAGAGAATTTTGTGATTCATCACTTACATACAGCACCCAGTGCTCACCACCACAAGTGCCCTCCTTAACTCATCACCCATTTAACTCATGGGTTAATACAATTTAAAGTTTATGTGTATCCTTAGCAATTCCTTGGTATTCTTGTTTGTTTCAGATGAGAAGAAGCAGATGGTTGGCCACGTGGAGAAACAGCTCGAAGAAGCGAAAGAATTGGTATGTGCAGACTCAGTGATATGTTTTCACATCAACCCAGAGCCGTTTATGCCGATGCCTTCCTCTAGTCTGCTTTGTACACTGTAGAAACGTGACACATTTCCGATTAGCAGTTTATAATTCCGAAGTCATCAGTTTTTCCATTGAAGAGAATTTAATAGTCTCTTGGGATTTTATTCTTCTTAATGAAGGTGACGCATTAAGTGACTCCCCTTTATTTTCCTTCATAATACGTTTCCTAATAGGTATAAATAGCTAATGCTTGTTAAAGGCATACTCAGTACCAGGCACTGGGTTAAACACATTACTTGCTTTATCATATTTAATGTTCACACAAGCGCTGTGAGACAAAGGCTGTCTGTCAAAAAGTGTTAAGGACCTGAGATGTTCCCCTCTTGCTTTGTGACAGCTAAGTTTGCGATAGTGTCATGGATGCTGGTGGAAGACAGGAGATTCCTCGGTCCTCTGACCGAACAAAGCAAAATAAAGCAAATAAAGCAAAAGAACTTTATTACAGCAAAAGATGCCACCCGAGTCTCAGCACAATTGCCTCAGTTCCCTGAGCCCCAGTTCCCACAGGAGTGACGCGGGTTTGCCTGGAAGAATGTCTGCCGACAGCAGAATACCTTCCGGGAAAAGAACCTGGAGCCTGGGAAATGCCTTGCTTTGTAGCAGCCTGTGAGCAAGCCTGCTGTTTGTCCCGGAGGGGCCCATTATTTCCTCCCCCAGGGCTGTTCCCTATAAATACAACCCTGAGAAATGGCTTGAAAGGAGCAGTCAGGGCCTTGTATTCCTGACGTGCCCAGCAAGATGTGGGAATGTGAGAGACCCACAGAGGAGTGATTCTCAGTGCCATTATTGCTCCTGTTCTGTAGGTGGGGAAACTGAGGCCCCGAAAGATTATGTAACTTTGAGGTCCTACGCTACAAGTGGTGGGGTAAGAGCTTGTATTTAAACAGGCTATACCCAGAGCTCTGGCTTATCTTCTGCTTTTTGATATAAATATATTTGCACATCAAGGAACAAAAAGTTTGAAAAGGTGTTGTTTCCCAGTTTGGGGTTTTAAAGCCAAGCTTTACAAACGCGACTCTGCTTGTGGCCGCAATGGGGTCCTAAATGAGAGTGTTGCTTCCCTACATACTGAAGGGCACTGCCTGGTGTTCCTTCGGTACCCGCTTGCTAATATCCTTACAACAGATTCCCCGAGTGTGTTTCTGGTGACTGCTGTTGCCAGGTCAAATAAGTTTGGGAAACTAGCTGGCTTAAATAGAATTGGAGGGTGGCATCTTTTTTGGTTGTTGTTTTTCTGCAGAATCCTCTTGGACCCGTAAGTAGGCTAAGAGGCATTATGGATCTCTAAGAAGGGACTATAGGGGCCAGCTAAAGCATGGAGCATTTCCAGAGTTATTCAACTGAGTTACTTTTCTTGACAGGGTCATACACAAGGGGCTGCTGTTTTAGAGGGTCTGAAGAAATAGGTGGCTGTCATTCCCCACCACACAGCAGACCTTTGCTCCGTGACTTTGGGCGCGGAGGCAGCGAGTTGCACAGCCGCTACTTTGTCTTCTCTGTCGCCGGCTCTATTCTAGCCATCAGAGTGTCGGATGCTCTCCGGACCCTGCAAGAGCAGCTTCTCATCTCTGCTGTGCTGTCACTGCCTCTACAGTGGCAGCTTTGCGTCCAACTCCAGCTTCGAATGTCTGCCTCAGTTTTGAAAGTTGCCCCCTTTTCTCAAATGCTTTTCCCCGTACTTTCTTTTCTTTTTATATTCGACTCTTTCTCTCATGCTTCCTGGCCTTCGTGTAACAAGACTGACCTTCTACACAGCGTGGCTGCGAGTCAGGACTGTCCTGCCTTCCAGCTGGCAAGCGCATTCTGAATGGAACTGTACAAGTAGTCAGTTGTTTGGATCCTGAGTTGACGGCTTATAGTGTTGAGTTCTTAGGAGCAGTTCTTTTGCATCAAAAACTGTGTTTTGGTTTGTTGACCTTCTTTTGGAGCCATCAAGTTACTTAATGATGTTAGAAAGCTGGTTTCCTAAGAGCCAAGATTTTACTGTACCAAGAAGTATAAAACATAGTTATACCTAATGGAGCTTATAACTAACCTAAAGAATTCTGTCTAAGATATGTGTTTCTGTTTGTTGAACATGATCAGACAGCGAATTTGCTTAACTCTGATGACAACCTTGTTAAGGATACTCTCAGTGTATTACACTCTCTCCTTTGGATGAGGACCCTGGCAGAAACACTTGTTTTTGATTTTGCTTATCAGGATTACTTGTGTTTCTGCTGAACGATCGGTTTGTGTTAATCTCTTGGACACTGCTAGTCTTGGGTTTACCATGTCTCCCGCTTTATGTTGGCCACGTGAATGTTGTGACAACATGAAGCCAAGCTCACGTTAGCCTTATTGCTGGTGTCATTTGAAGTGCTTGCTGTGTGTTTCCTTTTTTTCTTTCTTGCCTCCTTTTAATTTCATTTCCAGTGTCTTTATAAAATGCCTTAAACAAAAGTAAAGTCAACTCTCGGATTTTCACTTACATGTACTTTGGCAGTTACTTGGATGATTCTGCTCACCCTGTAAGCACTAAGGACTTAATAATGATTTCAGAGAAGTGAAATAATTGCCTTGCTGAGTAACTAATTTATTGGTGCTTCACATTTATGTAGAGATATGGTAATAATTTAAGTGGTCACCACTTAAGTCAACCCTAATTAAAACTATGTCTCTCTCTCTCTCTCTCTCTCTCTCTCTTCTTTCTTTCTTTCTTTTTTTTTTTTTTTTTTTAATAAAAATTAAGGCCTGTGAATTGAAACATGGTATTCTGGGCATCTGAGTGCTGCTATTATTCAGTCCCTAATGCTGGGCGAGTAAGGGGTATATAAGTGATAAGCTTAGAGTAGTTAGGGAAATAACTCATTAGAATACTTTATTTTTTTTAAATTTTTTTAATGTTTATGTATTTTTGAAAGAGAGACAGACAGAATGCAAGCAGGGGAGGGGCAGAGAGAGAGGGAGACACAGAATCCGAAGCAGGCTCCAGGCTCTGAGCTGTCAGCACAGAGCCCGATGTGGGGCTCGAACCCATGGACCGTGAGGTCATGACCTGAGCTGAAGTCGGACGCTTAACCGACTGAGCCACCCAGGCGCCCCTAGAATACTTGAAAAGGTAAAATATATAGCAGCGTTTTTGGATGTGAGTTTATTAGACATGGCCGGAGCCAATTTGCTGCTGTTGTTGGTTTTTGTTTTTTAATGCCAAGTATAAAGAAGCTACCTCTGATACCTTGTGTCGTACTTGCTCTATTTCTTCTTCTTCATCAGTAATCACCTCTACGATTCTTCACATTAATCTGGCGATTATCAAGCAAGAGACACTGTTGTAAGCACATTATGAGAATTACGCCTTATAATCTTCACAGCTGTCCTACAGAAGACATACTATTTATAGAAATGAGAAAGTAAGGCCCAGATAACTTAATAAACCGGTCCAAAGGTGCATGACTAGTAAATAGTGGAGCCTATGATGTGGACACCGGCATCTGAATCAAAAGCCTGTGTTCTTAATTATCACCCTGTTTCTGTATCACCTCTCTTTACATGCTCGCGTGTTGTTTCCAAAGTGTTATTAGTGACAGATTATTGAAAAGTATGCTGCTGTAATTTCAGTGAGCTTTGTGTAATTTAGCATATTACTGTATCCATTTAACTCTATTATCAACATGGTTATAAAGTAGGAGTCCGGCTGGAGGCTGAGATCACATATTGGTTGGCATGTGATTTCCCTAATCAGAAAAGAGTTTCCAGAAGAATTTTCACCAAATGACTAAGTCTGAGCTGGCCTTTTATAGAAAGGGTAGAAATAATGGTTTGTTTTAGGTTCCCATAGTCCTGGTAGTTTGGGGTCAAAAGACCACCGAGGTTGGGTTGGATTGAATGATAGGACACGCCGAAGGTATTAAAATTGTTATTATTGAGGATATTTGGATTAATGCATATGTTCTAAAAAACATTCTTGGCAAAGTGAGTGCTTTGTCACTCTGTGTGTCACTAACTCAGTAACTATTTGTTGACCTAAACAAAAGTTAAGCACAGAAGCAGTCCCATTGTTACTTGATCATGGGCAGCTAGCTCCCTCAGCCCGGCTCCTCCAGTGGAAAATGAGGAATTGGGACTAAATCATTTCAACTCTAGATGTCTGGCCAAATACAGTGCAAGCATATGGTATAAGTCATGTGTTCTTCTCACCCTTCCAGCTTGAACAGATGGATCTGGAAGTCCGAGAGATCCCACCCCAAAGTCGAGGAATGTACAGCAACAGGATGCGAAGCTACAAGCAAGAAATGGGCAAGCTTGAAACAGATTTTGTGAGTCAGATTCTACCCTCTGTCACATTTACTAATCTTTAACTGAATTTTCACCTGTATTTTTTATTGTTTCCTCCACACACCTCAGTTAGCATGACACGCATCGTCTCTAGGAGCTTGTGCCGGGGACAAGCACAGCTTTCGCTATTGATAACTTAGGGGTCTAAAAATGCTTGGGGCGCCTGGGTGGCTCAGTCGGTAAGCGGCTGAATTTGGCTCAGGTCATGATCTCATGGTTTGTGGATTCGAGCCCTGCGTTGGGCTCTGTGCTGACAGCTCGGAGCCTGGAGCCTGCTTCGGATTCTGTGTCTCCCTCTCTCTCTGCCCCTCCCCTGCTTGCACTCTGTCTCTGTCTCTGTCTGTGTCTCTGTCTCTGTCTCTCTCTCTTAAAAAAATAAACATTAAAAAATATTTTTTTTATGCTTAAACAGCTAGCTAATGACGGAATATGAGGGATGCTGGATTCACGACTCACAGGTAGATCCAAAACCTGTGGTCCTCTGAGTTTAGACAGTATTTATTGCCACTTAGCATTTGTTAGAATTTTGAAGCCGAATTTTGGGCCTTTTCATAGTCTGCAGGCTTTAAGATGCCGTGTTCACAGATGGACTTCAGGGACTCATGAATGTCCTGAAATTATATAGGTATTTTTGGATATCCATTTCGCTGTGCACTCTTTTCCTGGGATGGGTACCATAGACTTTATTAGAGTCTTAAAAGGATACATTACACTTTTCCAATCAAAAGGACAAAAGGAATTCAGCTGATAATTCGTACAAGTGATCCTTTCCACCAATTGCTCCATGAGAGTATTTACCTTTCTCTTCCTATACATCCGACTGTCAACTCTGCCCACTTTAGAGCAAATTTAAGAATGTAAATGTAAACGTATAATGTTGAAATTGTTAGTAATTAGAAAGTCATAAGTGAATAAAAAGATACAGCTGAGCAACTCCACTTCTGGACATCCAAAGGAATTAAAAGCAGGGTTTCAAAGAGCTATTTGTACATCCACGTTCTAGCCTCATTATTCGCAACACCAAAAGATGGAAGCAACTCAGTGTCCAGCAACAGGTGAATGAATAAACAAAACATGGTACATGTGTACAATGGGGTATTACTCAGCCTTAGAAATGGAGGAAGTTCTGACATATGACATGACATGACATGACATGACATGACATGCTTGAGAACATTATGCTGAGTGAAACAAGCCAGGCACAAAAGATAAATACTATATGATTCCATTTATATGAGGTATCTAGGGGACTCAAATTTAAGAGACAGAAAGTAGAATGGCAGTTTCTGGGACCTGCGGGGGTGGGGAAAATGGGCAGTTATTTAATGGATATAGAGTTTAAGTTTTACAAGATAACAAATTCTAGAGATGGGTTGCTCAACATGTGAATATATTTAACACTATTAAATGGTATACCTAAAAATGATGAAGATGGCATATTTTATGTGTAGTTTACTGCTTAAAAAAAATAAAGATACAGATGAAGAAAGATCTGAGCTTCACCTGTAAGTGACAGAGGAGTCATGTCTTGACAGGTGAATCAACTTCACTTCTGACCCTGGGGTTCAAATTCATAAAGTCCAGAGTTTATAAGGGTCTTTCCACCTCTTTTCCTGCCTTAGGTGTTTTACTTATGAAGGCTGTGCCTTCTAGACTACAGTGGTACCAAACCTAGTCGAAATTCCACCTAGAATCTGGAGATTGGGTGATTCGCAGTTATGCATGTTTATTTTATATTTTAGTAGATATTTTCCCGAGTTGAGATAGGTTATGTCAGTGGCTCTGATGCAATTGCCTTTTAAATTGTGTTTCTATTAATTACAAAAAGAGAAAAAAAAAAATCAGAATCCATGATGGGCCTAAACTGAGAAAAGAAATGTGGCTGCCTAGCTCCTGTGCTCTGTGCTAGGTAAAACCTTCTCTGACTGCTTCGGGAAAGGTAGGCTATCTTAGCAAGAATAGGAGATATAGTGAGAAAATTAAATTGATTTAAGAATTTGACCACTCGAATTTATACTCAGACAACTCTAATTAATGTTTCAATATAAATGATGAATGTAAAGTAAAACATTTATGAGGATTGTTTTAGTTTGCTAACCTCATCTTTATGAAACTCCTTTACAAAGATTTCTCTCTTGGTTTCTAAAGTAACGAACTATATTAGTTTGTGAGGGCTACCATAAGCAGTGCCACAGACTGGATGGTTTAAACAACAGATCTGTACTTTCTCACAGTTCTGGAGGCTCAGAGTCCAAGGTCAAGGTGTCAGCAGGTGTGGTTTCTCCCTAGGCCTCTCTCCTTGGCTTGTAGACAGCCGTCTTCTCCCTGGGTCTTCACACGGTCTTCCCTTTGTGTCTGTGTTCTCATTTCTTCTTATAAGGAACCAGTCACATTGGATTAGAGCCCACCCTAATGATCTCATTTATACTCAATTAACTCTTCTCCAAATGCAGTCACTTTCTGAAGTACTGAGGATTAGGACCTCAACATCTGGAGGTAGACACAACTCAACCTATAACACTGAATTTAGTCATAATCTTTTCTTCTTAAAATTTTTTTCAGGGGCGCCTGGGTGGCGCAGTTGGTTAAGCATCCGACTTTAGCCAGGTCACAATCTCGCGGTCCGTGAGTTCGAGCCCCGCGTCAGGCTCTGGGCTGATGGCTTGGAGCCTGGAGCCTGTTTCCGATTCTGTGTCTCCCTCTCTCTCTGCCCCTCCCCCGTTCATGTTCTGTCTCTCTTGTCCCAAAAATAAATAAACGTTGAAAAAAAAAATTTTTTTTTTAAATTTTTCTTCAGAAATTAAGTTGCTTTCATTGCTCATAACTCAGCCAGTTCAATCATCAGTGTTTTTTGTCTCTTGAAGAATATAATCCTGGGTAGAGTCCTTTAAGTATTTGGATATTATATACTTGGGTAGGTATTTCTCATGCATATTTTCTATTATAAAGTGAAACAGAACCAGTAACTATGAACTAAACATTTATTCTCCCAGCCATCATTAAAAAAAATTCATGTGTTTATGTGTATAATTGTTCACACAACTTTCTTCTCCTGTGTTAGGGAGCATCCTTCACCATTACCTCCACCCCCTTCCATTGTTTAGTGACTTAACGGTTTATAAAGTGCTTTAATGTGTACTACATTTCACTGTATGAAGAGTAGAGAGAGGAGATGTGAAGGACTCTCCCCATTTACACATGATAGAACCAGGAGGTTCAGATTGTTTCTGGATTCCATTCACCACGTCTTTCTCAAGCCCTGCTGTCTATAGACACTGTCCTAGGTACTTGGAAAAAGCTGTGAGTAAGATCAAGTTTCTGCTCTCATGGGATGTAAGTACTAGTGGGAAAGACAAGAAGCAAATAGACAAATATGCAGATATCACAATTCCAGGTAGTGATACATACTGTCCATGACAATGAAGTGAGTAAAGGGGTGAAAGTGGCTACAAAGTGGTCGTGGCTGTCTTTGCTGGGGTGTTCTCTGAGGCTTGACTGAAAGAGGAAGAGGCACATTTGTTTACAGGGAGAGGTAGAAGAAAGACCTACAAGGGCACTGTAGGCATGGTAAAGACCTTGGCGTTTACTCTGGATTGAAGAGAAGCCCTTGGGGGCCGTTGAGAAGTGAGTGGTCCTTTGACTCCTGCTTTACAGCTCTCTCACTTTCCCTCACCACACGTCTCAGGAGGGATTTGAACGAGTGTGGAAGATATTTATGTAATTCCCTTTTGATTCTTACTTTCTTTGTATATTTAATGCTTTTTATTTTTAAAGGAACAAAGAGTATCTTCTTAAAGATATTTGACAACCTTCTCATGGTGATGTACCTAGAACTATTGAACCCCAAGAAAAAAGAGCACAGCTGCTCTTAACTGCAAATGAATCAGATCTGTTCTTCCCCTTGTAATATTGAGACTTTGGGGGGTCATTTGTACCAATGAGGAAGGGCAGAGGACAGCCCGATACTTTTTTCTTCGACCCTCATTATCTACTTGTTATCTTTCCTTGGCCCCTCCTCTTCTTCCTGTGCCTGTTCCTTAGACACTGGATCCTTCAGGCTTCTTCTCCACTTACTGCACTGTCTATCTCTGTGTAGCATCATCCACTCCCATGGCTTCCACGATGGCATCTCTAACCCACCTGCATTTCTAACCAGATCTCTATAGCTCTAGATTCATGGTTCTTTTTTTTCTTTTAATTTTTTTAATGTTTATTTATATTTGAGAGAGACAGAGACAAAGCACGAGCAGGGGTGGGCGGAAAGAGAGGGAGACACAGAATCCAAAGCAGGCTTTGGGGTCTGGGCTGTCAGCACAGAGCCCAACACGGGGCTCAAACTCACAGACCATGAGATATGACCCGAGCCAAAGTTGGATGCTTAACTGACTGAGCCACTCAGGCTCCCCGAGATTCATAGTTCTCACTACTTACTTTACCCCAGAGTTCCTTAAACACAAACACTTAAACTTGACAAGCGCTAGTCACTTCAGAGTTATCGTTAATTTCTTCCTCTCCAAGCACTTTGTGCTTCCAGTTGATCACTGAGAACTAGCAATCCTGCCACTTAAATACCTCCTACTCTCCTCTCCACTGCTGGAAGCTTTCATGTTTCTCCATCTTGATGTTTGTAGTAGCCTTTCCTCCTTCTGTTCTTGTCTAGCTCTACACCACCCTCTGCACCAGTCTGGAATGATGTTTCCAACACACTGATCTGAATATGTCATATTGTTCCACAAAATCCCATGGAGTGCTCATTGCCTGATGCATAAAATCCAGGTCAGCTTATAGGCTTTCTGTTCTGTTCCATTGCTTCTTCACATGTCCAGGAATTGTATTATCATATGCTTGGTATTGTGGATCATACATTGTTAAAAGCCTAGGTTTTATCTCAACCTTTTTTTCATTATTGCCCCCCTAAGGAATCTTTTTAGACTTTTTTTCCTAATTGCCCCTTCCTCCTCCTACCCCATGAAATTTTGAT